TTTAGGACCCCTTGGCTGCCCTTAACTTGTAATATGTCTTGGTGTTTTTACTCGCTGTGGGTTGCATTGGTGGTAGTAGATTAGAATTCACTTGCTGGGATTCCAATAACGTCTCAATGGGATTACAAACAGAACTTTTTGGATTGTGAGGAAAACTAGAAAGAGGATTTCAATACTTGGATGACGGAACTCTATATTTGGGTTTACAATACCGACTGTTGATGAGGAACATGGTCAAGAATTCCAATAGTCAATATTGAGAATCCCACTTATCTGTCTAGAATGTCATGAGAAAAATAAAAAACAGAGACAAGTCCTGTATTCCAACAACGCCTGGGAAGTCAAAGTCTCTGGATCCAACAAACCCTCTACTCCCAAAACATCCACTATTTATTAGCAGTTTCTAGTCATAGGTGGGTCTAGCTAAAGGATTACAATTCTTCCAAAGACTCCTACTCCAGAGGGTGTAGATAGTCTTATGTTTGAAGTGTTTGACCAGAGTATAATTCTGTGATACTTTAAGGTGTAGATGATCTTATGCTTAGAAGTATCTTATTCTTGAATATAATCCTCAGATGACTTAAGAAAGCATAAATGATTTAATGCTTGGAAGAGTCAGTGGAAAATTCCAGAGGGGTGGTATCAGCAACCCCAATCCTTCCTTTCATCCCACAGGGAAATACGCAAAACCAGTCACTGCAAATTTGTGGTCCCCAACAGTATTAGGTATTATAAATAATTAAGTGATAATTTAAAGTATACAGGAGGATATTCATAGGTTATTTATAAAATACTATGCTGTTTTATATAAGAGACTTGAACTTGGGAGATTTTGGTATCTGCAACCAGTTCTCCCTGGACAACCATGGACAACTGTGTTTCTGATTCAGACAATGAAGCTTCAGAGGCTGGGCAACAGAGAAAAAATACTACTTTTCATTAGCTCCCAACTTGCTGTGTGAGCTCACAGAACAAAACAGAACAAAAATAGCAACTCTATCACTCCCTAAACCTTAAACTCCCCACCTACCCACTAACATATTTGGTTTGGACCAGAAAAAGTGTTTCATCCTCTTTCAAACATTCCTAGTTAATAATAATTGCATATATAAAAATATATATGAGTGCAATGTAATATTTTGATATGTATTTATGAATGGAATCATCAAATCAAGCTAATTAACAAACCCATCATCTTACATAATTTTTTATGGTGAGAACATTGGAGATCTACTTCAGTAATTTGGAAATATGTGACATGTTATCAATAAGAATTTCTGTGCAGTGAGTCACTAAACCTTACTCTTCCTGTATGCCTGAGACTGTGGGCTTCTCAAGATGCTCTGGCCAAGTACAGTGACATGTGCCTGTAATTTCACCACTCTGGAGACTGAGGGAGGAGGATTGCCATGAGTTAGACACCAGTGTGGGCTACATAAGCAAGTTCAAGGCCAGCCTGAACTACATAGCAAGTCCTTGTCTTAAAAAAATAAAGATTCTCTGATCGCAGCTTCCCATGCAGCCAGCAGAGACCAGAGAGTTTTCTGCACATCTGACACACTGGACCTAGGGTTTTGCGTGTTCTGATCCCCCATTTCTTGCTGGTCAAGAATCCTGTTTTTTCCGGTCAGGATACACAACAGGAACTCAATAAATCTGTACTTACCAGACTAGTGAATTGCCATGGTTGTTCTTGAAAGAGTTCTGGAAAGCAATGGAGATGCCCTGAGGACTGGGACCACAGCAGTAAGTGGTTCCATAATTAGCAGTAACTGTCACCATCCCATCATCAAAGCACTCCCAGGCCACACAGTCAGTTGGAGAACAGAGGGAGACTAAGTTTTTTGTCAACTAATTGTTGATTACAATCTGTAAGAAACATTAAACTTTCTCTGCTTTTCACCCACTGCTCCATGTCATTGCATAACTGTTCATACTGTTTACATTTATAGCCCATACATTATTACTTTTTCCAAAAAAAGGAAATAGTTTAGTGAATTTTGAACTGTTCTACAAAAAGTTCAAAAATACTGTTTAAAAAAAAAAAAAAAAAGAAACTTTGAGCTTGCGGGTAAAGTGCCACATACCTATTATCCCAGCACTTGGGAGACCAAGGCAAGAGGATCACAAGTTTGAGTTCAGCTTGTGCAACTTAGTGAAGACTCTCTCAAAATAAGATAGAGAAAAAAAGGGCTGGGATGTAGCTCAGTGCAAAAGCTAAATGCTAGGTTATCCTCCCCCACAAAATAAAATAAAACAAAAGAAAAAGAATGACTTCAGTCATAGGAAAGATGCAAGAGCTAGTAACTAGGGAACTAGCTGAATGTATTTGGAGAAAACCAGAATGTGGGAAAGACAGTGAGTTTATTTTAGGACACACTGGGAATCCTAGGCCACTGGAATAGTGATGACCCATTAGAAATGAAAATCTAGAATTTACAACGATCAACAATCACTTCAACTTACCAAATTCTAACTGAATAAAGCAGGAAAGGTGATCACCTTTCTGGGTAGAGAAGAATTAATGCAGCAAGACTGAGATTGCTGCCCTAGATTGCTGCTTCTGAAGCATGGCCCTGGGCTCATGTCTGGGAACTTGCTTGGTGAGCAGCTCCCTGCACGGATAGGAAGTGTGCCCTAAATAAGGGTGCGCACTGTGCCCACACCATTGGTGCAAACATATGGTTTCTGGGGAATAGCTGTTTATCTCTAGAAGCCCAGGCTTTTGCAACACAGATCATATCTATGTGACCAGTCCCATAGCACAGCTTGGGCATTGAGTCTCGAGTGAATGTCCCCAGGAGGCAATATCTGATGTGAGCTGTCACAATTTGTGTGGGACTTTGGGAGTGGACCCTTAGAAGCTGGCTCCTGGTTTCCTCTGGACGTCACCCATGCACCTTCCCACTTTGATGTCACTTTGGATCCTTGATAGGGTTTTTGGTATGATAAAAGAGAGAATATAAAGTAAAAATAGCCTTTATTCTAAGGACATGGAGAGAACTCCATGACCCCCAGGGCCTGGCCTTCTCTGCTGGAATGTGGGGCATGGAATATACATATAATTTTTGACTGAAGTGGCTCTTAGGGTAGGCATTGCTGATGCTTGAACAGCTGATTGGAATTTTCTTCACGTGCAAACAGGAGCTGGGGAAGAAGCAGGAAGTGGTAGGTGTTCCCGTTTTGTCTTCCACCTTGTTAGACCACCACCATAATTTCTACTGAGGCAAGAACCTTTCATTCCCATCTTTGTATTGTTAGGAAAAGGGTGAAGTCTCTTTCTTACTACTTCCTACTGAAAGGGGGGGCATCATTTTGGGGTTTTGGAGGGTTGATGGGATGATGGTTGATGCCCATGTAGAAGCTGGTGCCAGGTGTTTCAGCCAGGACAACTTTATCATTGGTGAATGCCTGCATGTTAGACTGGGAAACAAAGAGACAAGGTGCTATGAGGAGGCAGGCCACTATCATATTTAAGGACCCAGGGGAGGTAGAAGGAAAGGTGTCTTTGATTTAAATATGCCGTTCCATCAGGACCACGGTGAGGTAGAATTCTGAAAAATAAGTGTGAGGTTAGGAGGAGTGAAGTTTTGAGAGGTGACTATTTTTATCCTAAAAGGTAAAAGTTAAAAGTGTAGGCAGGTAGGGCTTATCTCTGGTCCAGGAGTTGAGCTGGAAAGAATAAGAGGGGTGGGGAGGGCTGTGGCTGTGTCACTATAATGGAGATAAGAGCCTAGGCCTATAGGGATCTCATCTTTGACTAAACAGCTGAGGGGAGACAGAACTAAGACAGCTGTCACATAGAACAACATGAAGATGATCTTACACATGATGTGGGAGTTGTTAGGAAAGACTGTTAAGAGTCCTGCTGTAAAAAAGATAATTAACTAATAGAATGTAAGGAATTAGGAACCAAACTGGATAACAAAACATGACTTAGCCTGGGAGTTGTGGCTGTGAGGCCTTGGTGAGACGGAGATGGGTGGGCAATAGAAGATGAGATGACCACTCAGGATGGTTAGATTTAGGGCTGGGAGGGCACCGCTTGAGTGATGTGGAACCAGGATGGCAGTCCAGCAACTTTGACTGCTGTTGGGGGTGCCAAGAAGACCAGGTAGGGGCTGATCCACCTTGGTTATAGTCTTTGGGATGATTTCCTGAAACAGGACTTATTAAGTATATCAGCAGTCTCCCTGGTTGTGGGAAAGGCTTTTATATATCCTGAAAAAGTACAAACAAAGGTGAGAAGATATTTGAGAGATTTTTGGCAGAGCATATGTGTAAAATTTACCTGTCAGTCCTGACCAGGGTTGTGTCTGTGAAATTGATGAATAGGAAAAGAAGGAGGTGGTATGTGTCCCTGAGGAGAGGTTTTACTATAGAGATGACAGGTGTAAGTTATTGAACCCTCAGAATGTCTGGGTTAGTCTGCATAAACACAGAGGAGTAAAAAAGGCATTTTTAAGATCTATGACTGTAAACTGAGTAGTGGAGGGAGGGATATGAGGGAGCATGGTATAAGAGTTTGGCACCACTGGGTGGATTGGGATAATGATACTATTGATTACCCCAAAGTCCTGCACTAGATGATAAGACCCATCAAGCTTGAATACTGGGAGAATGGGAGTATTTTAGGGTAAATGGGTAGGTTTAAGAAAACCATTGCTTAAAAGGCACTTAATTATAGGTGTAAGTCTCTGTAAATGTTTGGGAGCTATGGGATACTGGGTAATGCAAGGAAAATTTGAAGGATCCCTAAGATGAATTAAAATAGGCATGGCATGGGTAATGCCTGTGGGATTGGAGGTGTCTCAAACTATGAGATGGACCAGAGAAGAAGGGAGTCTGGAACATGCATGGAATAGGCCCTGTCTGCAAAGGCTGCGTAGGTTGGCCGTCAACACCATCTATAGAGACTGAGGACTTAATATAACAGCCTGAAAACTCAGGAAGAACACTATACATGGCCTCTATGTCCACAAATGCAGAGAATGTCTTACCTGAGACCTCTAGTCTGGGGCTCTGAGAAGGACACCTTAATGGTGGCTGTGGACCCCGAGCCCCATCAGTCTTCAGCAGCAAGTCCGAGCAGATCAGTCAGTGATGAATCTGGTGGTGACGAGATCTCCTATGAGGGCAAGGAGTTAGAGGATGACTCTGGCAGCTAGGACAGTCGCTCTCCCAATGGCCCTTGAGACTGCAATAGGGGCAAGGCCCCAAGGGAATGCTGGGGTTGGGGCACTCTCTTGCCCAATGTCCTTCTTTGTTGTACTTGAAGCATGGTCCAGGAGGGGCTCAGGCAGCTCCATCTTGGGTCGGTTTATCTGTCTCAGAGCTCCAAGTGTCCCTGCTAAAAGATCAGACTGTTATTTTTCCTTTTATCTGTTGTTGAAAACATGAAAAGCCATATTAAGAAGGTCTCCCTGTGGGATCTGAGGGACAAGTTTAGCCTTTTGTTTTGGGATCTGACCCATAGTGGACGGTATCTGTCTCCACAGTCACAAGACATCTGGTTTTTATCTTGGGTAGGTGTACAGCTTTAAGTCTAAAGGAGACAAAGGCAAAGAATCAATTAAGTATGCAGGAGTCAAATAATACAATCAACACAGTATTTATGATTATAGCTTTAGCAATGGCTCCCCATAAGGAGGATAAGGTGCAGGGAATTTTAGAAGCTGACCTCATTCATTTCTCATACACACATTGAGGTTTTACAATTGTATAAGTTATACATTGTAACTTATAAATAACTTATAACTTATACATAAATTTTTGTTTAAAAATTATTTGACTGGTGACCTCATGTTGGATGACTTAAATCTCCTGGTTAGAGCACAAAAAAAAGGGCAGACATCTAGATCTTAAAAAAAATACTTGTCGTCATAAGCAATCTTAATTCTATATTTAAAGGAATAAATATACCGTCAGATCAGCAACAATAAATTATTAGTCATATGAACTTTAGTTGAGGTGTCTCCCATAAGACTATGCAAATTATTGGGGCCTCCAACTAATGAACAAGAGCTGGTTAAAGTTACAAGGTGGCCACTCTCTTGTTTAGCAATTGGAGTCCTGCCCAATGTCTGCTCACCCCAAGGAATTTTGTTTAACCGATTTTAGCATCATTTTGACCAGTTGGCAACCTAGGTGAAAACATGTTTTTTAATTCTAAACCCAAATAAACCTTGATTAAATGATCTGAAAATGTAAAAGAGGAGGAAAAATTGTTGAGCTCAAATAAAACGAAACAGCTGTTTATAGAGCAGGCAAGTGGACAGACAATAGATATATAGACTGACAATCATCTTATAAAATTAAAGTTCACTCAAATATATTTGGCCAATTTGAACTATAATAAATAGACTAGTGTGAACCTTTTGGTAGGTCAATTAATAGAGATCTCTTGAAATAAGAATACCAGAAAAGGAACCTAATTTATGGCTAATCTGAGATAGCTCAGAAAGGAAAAAAGGAATGTAAACATTAGCTAATGTCTTGGGAATGGGGCCAGCCTGTTCCTGAAGCAGGAGCAGAGACTGAGGCTGAGAAGGCTGTTGCCACCAAGTGGTCAACTGTCTAGTAGGCATGTGTGGGCAATTACCTGATGATTGGCTATAAAACAGTCAACATATTACAAGGAAACGCAGGCTGTTGGTGGGTCACCATGTGACCAGCAGCAGCCTAGCTGCTGCTGATCACACGAGGGGCCACAAGGGGGCGGCCATGGACCCTGAGACCTGTTGCAAGATGGCAGTGCTCTGCCATGTAGTGGAGGGCCACAAGATGGTGGCTGTCCTCCACACCAGCTGCAGCAACATGGCTGCTGGCAACCAGATGGCCTGACCGAAGGCTGGAATGCCTGAGACCACATATGGTGAGCCGTAAAGACAGGAGCTGTATCATCTAAAGGAGTCCGGTGGGCAGGGAGGGAGAGATCCTGGAGAAGCAGAGTGAGCCAGAAGTATTTGGGCCATCATAGAAGACAGTGAGAGAACACGTCCTTAAAGTGAAAAAGGCCTAAAGATGAAGTTTTCTGCCAACATGCTGCTACTGTGACAAAAGCATAAATAAAAGGTCAGCTTTTTGGTTTTTATAGCTGAGTCTTGTGAGTCCTTCTGGCAAATTAAAACCTGGAGTGGACTTGGGCATCTCTGACACATCTTTCTATGGGGTGGAGGTGAGGCATTGCATTGCAGGGCCTCTTGGTAGTCATCATCTACCCCACCTCTCATTCTCTTACAGTTCCAAATAAAGATATCACTTTTAAATGTTTAAGAAAAGCCTGGAGCCTCTCATAAAAATCAGATGTTGCAAGAGAGGTGCAAGCCTGCGGCTGCATTGGCTGTGTCCGACTGGCTCTGCAGTGTGCCCCAACCTGAGCAGCTCCCTCCTTGGCATGAACAATATGCATTGCGATGACCGCGCAGCCCGTAAGTGCCAAATAATTCTGATGGTCTATGACTGCAATTGTTCCATGTTGGAATGGTTTGGGGTGATCCTGAGACAAATCCCAAACAAGAGAACAAAGACTGCCAGTCATAAGCCTGCTAAAGGAAGCACAAAGCGAGTCCTTCAGTCCTGGCCATATTCCAGAGTAGCCCCAATTAAATAGGGCGATGAGTGAAGAGTGATGCACGCAGGACTTTTGATCTTCGTTATCCTCGAGCTGTCCAGTTTGGGCATCTGCTTGCTCTCTCAGCCAGGCCCTCGCTCCAGGGGTCTCAGTCATAAAGGAGCGGCAGGGAGGGGCTGCTGGGACAGGCAATGGTTTCTTTTTGAGAATTGGGGAAGGGCAGAAGGGAGTTGGTGGCCTTTTTATTCTCTATATTTCAGGAGTTTTTGTTCTGTTTTTTGCCACCCACTTCATAAGATGTTATCATGAGGTTGTGTAGAGAATAGAGCCTGGCAAACCCTCAATTGTCAGTTCTCACCACCCAAGGGACTGAGCTTTTTCCTACAGCTTTTACACTGGCCACCCTGTTTTTTTTGATTCTTCCCAGGACACTCCTCAGTCCTCCCAGGAAAACCTAGTATCACAGTTTTAAAAGCAACCACCCTACTAGATACAAAAGGGACAAGTTATGGGATTGCGGAGGGAACAGCAGGTAAGCTGCTCACACCCAGCTTCAGTCCTGCACAGATGTAAGTAAGTTATTGTTTTCCTACAGATACAGAAACCACCTAAATCTCTGTAATACTCCGTCCTCTCTTTTTTAAGAGAATCTTTTATAGATACAATTTTCTGAGTTTAGACTTGTCTAGAATCTGGGTCTTTCTCCTGGTAGTTTTCTAAGAAATCTCTAATTTCTTCTTAGTGTCACCCAAATTCTATTTCAGTTCAACCTAAAATAGTCTCTCTGTGTGCCATGACTTTGCAAAACATCTCTAGTTCTGGGTGGTTAAGATCCAGAAAGCCTTGGCTTCAAATGCACCTGTAAACCAAAAAAATCATAAATGAGATTAAAATAAAAGCGAAGAGTGAAAGGCTCTTGCCCTAGTGTAAATTATTGTACAGTTAAGGCGGTGGTCTAACATGACAGAAGGCCAAATCGAGAATGCTTACCACCTCCTGCTTCTTCTTCAGCCCTAATTGCAACTCCCCTTCCTGTTTGCATGCACAGAGAATTCCAGTCGGTTCCTCATACGTCATCAATATCTGCCCCATGAGCCACTTCAGATCAGGTCATATAACCCTCTGCCTCTCTGCATCTGGTCGAAGGAGACAGCCCAGCTGCCTTGGGTTATGCGCTCTCGTCCACGTCCTCAACTCAATAAACCTGTTCGTTTTGTACTTTTTGCTTCTCTGTTGCACCAGAATACTCTAATAAATAGCATTTCTATTTGGGTACAGAACAGATTTACAAACCAGGAAACATAGGTTCAGTCTGAAACTGGAGCAGTTTTCCATCAGAGAAAGACTGGGCTCTAGAGGAAACGCGTGAGTAGCTGGGGAAGTGAACTAACTGATTTTGAACCAATTTCCATGGGGCCTGACAGTTACACCAGCTGTTCTGAGTGAGTTGAGATTGGTGCTGAGGACCCATTCACAAATAAAGTATGCATGATGGGTTTCTAGGGAGACTGCCAGGGATTTATCAGTAAGTAATAAGTCTTTTGAGACAGCCAGCAAAGAGCGTAAGTCCGAGGATTGGAAACTGTCACAACCTGCTGTCTTATAAACACATTCTTTCCAAACAGCATTCGTTATGTGCAAGTTAAAGATTGTCTCAGCCTGTGTGTCACCTATGGCCTGTTAAGCACCGTCCCTGAGACTCACAGAGAACCTTGCTCTCTCCCTGGACCAAACTGTAGTATCTTACCTTTTATTCCCACAGGATTTTGGACAGGTCATATAATCTCTCTGAGATTCATTTTCCTCACTGGTAAAATAGGACAGATAGAAGGAGGAAACCTAATTATTCATGTACTACACTGGCCACTTATATCCATCACATGACAAGTGAGGAATAAAAGGTGGCCTCTTGGATTACATGACTTGCCTTCCATTACTGAGGCTTTTGGGATCTGTTCTCCTTAATCTTTGAAGTTCAGGTTTTGGAGAGTCACACTGAAAAAAAGTACTGACTTTTTCCTTCCTCTTCTGTTTTATCTTTCATTAATGCAGTACTTATTTCCTCTTTTTTTTCCTTCTGACAAGTTCTTGCTATGGCGTTGGAGCTGGCCTTGAACTCACTTTGTAGCCCAGGCTGGTCTCTAACTCACAAAGATCCTCCTGCCTCAGCCTCCAGAGAACTGGGATTACAGGTGTGTGCCATCACACCTGGCTTTTATTTTCTTCTTTTCTTATCTTCTCATGAATTATCTCCTAAGACATCTGAGAACTGGGATTACAGGTGTGTGCCATCACACCTGGCTTTTATTTTCTTCTTATCTCCTCATGAATTATCTTCTAAGACATCTGAGTCCTGCAGGCACTGTTGGCCTTGGCTTAGTAAACCGATTCTAATTATACTCTCTGCTTCCTCCTTACCCACCCTTTCTTAGCATTTCCTCTATACATACTCATGGAGGAACCTGCAGTCCACAGGCCACACATTTATGTCTGATAAGACACATTAGAGTTTTCTTCACATGAGTCACTAGCAGTTATGGTTAATGAAGGAATCCAGGAAAAAGTTTATTTCCTGATTTAGTTCCAAGTTTATAATATCTGTGAGAAGGGCATACAGCCAACTGACCATGAACCACGTACTTTTTGGGCACTTCTTTCCTTCTGAAGTTTTTTCTGTTCAACTTTCACCCCTTCCGCTGGAATAACGATGATCATATGACACTGTCTAGTTGTATGAAACTCCTGTCACAAACCTAACTCCAAGGCTCTTAGACATT